TTAATTCACCATAATATTTAGATTAACTTTTAATTTTAGGGTTTTCTAAAGGTTGGAAAGAAGCATTTATGAGCGGAGATCAGGAACCTTGGGTTTTTAGGGGTGGTCTTACAGCTGATTTACAGGTAAGATATGCTCATATTAAACACAACATTGAAATAATGTTATTCATATGTCCAATATTTTACAATATGTATATATTTTAGACTTTGTTGTCTGTTGCTTTCTTACCCCAACTAATATCTTGTAATCTTATTTATAAAGATATAATGAAATTTCATCTTACATTTTTTAGAGGCTGATACCAGTAGATGCCGGAAACGACCTGTTCATCTACAAATTACCAGAATTACCGGAATTAACTTTATACACAATAAGACCTTACACAAATTCTGATGAGGCTCGCGTTTACAGAATATGCCATGAAACCTGTAGAGATGGTTCTGATGCTACTGAATTGTTTCCTGAACATTTACAAGGTTAGCAATACTAACATTTTGTACAGATAACAGATATAAATGTTTTATGCCTTGAAGCATTTGAGAATGGACTTGTTTGTAAATTTATAGTTTGAAACAATTTTACTTTAATTAATTTTGTTTTAATTTATTTTTCAAATTTGTGTTTAAGTTTTATATTATTATTACAGGTATTCCTGCTGATAGGCTAGTCGGTCCGTTTTTGACTTTGGTTCCTGAATTTTGTATGGTGATAGAAGATGGACGTGATATTGTCGGTTATGCATGTGCTGCATTAGATGCTAGAGTTTTTTTATAGAAATCAACAGGTTAGTCGTGATATTAAGATAATTTAATAATCTGGTGTAACATCAGAATTTTTCTAAAACAAATATTTTGTTTTGGCTATAGTTTTGTAGTCCAGTTTCCATGGGAACTAGAAAAAATGGGACTGAAATACGCAATATTAACGTCTTTGAATTAAAATCTAAAAAATATTTTACAATTTGCTTTACTAAATATAAATATCGATAATCTGTTATCTGATTTTTCAAAATTCTACAAATTGTTTTACTGAATGCTGTAAAAATTGTCTTTCACTATAACACAGAACAACCAAATTCAGCATATTTATATTTGATAAAATGCTAAAAAATATACTCGATAGTTATCCATGATTTTTTTTAAATCAAATAACTATCTGAAAATTTTTGCGACATGATTTTGTGTAAAATAATTTAATTATATGAATAGAAAGTCGTTTTTAACTTATCTTTATGTAGTTTACATTTATTTATCTTATTGTGGAGTTACAGTTACATATGGAGCAGATAAGTATAATGAGCGCTTGCGAAATTCATATAAAAAGAGTCAAGAAAAAGATTGGAAAAAATAACATGAGTCCTTTTGACACTGAACATTTTTTTACAATTAAAAATCATATTACAAAATCCTAAGAGCAATTAACCAATACAAGCAATTAATGTACAAAAAATATTTGGCGAAATAAATTAAAAGCATTAAAATTCGAATCGGTGAAAGCAAATTGGTTCGATGGCTTCATTCTGGCAGCATTTTTATGTTAAGAAGGTCCCATGTACGGCAGTTCATCAAATATCAATGTGGTTGGCTTTTTAATAAGATCAATTTGAAAACGTTGCTTTTGTTAATTGATTCTAATTGATAAAAATTCATTATTCTCTCGGCGTTGTATGGAGGAGCTAGAAGATCAAAGAAAGCGGCCGGTTTATCCATACATTCTATTTCGTGGTAGTTACCTTTACGTGGGGTAAGGATTGAAACTCTTGACTTGGGATCAAATACAGTTTCTGTCATTTTAGTGACGTATAATTGCTGATTGGCTTCTTTGTTCTTAGAATCTTCAGGTTTATTAGCGTCTTTCGTTTTAAGTCTTTTGTTATTCGCGGCCGTCGTGGTCATCACCTTCAGTTGAGTTTCGCTGTAAGACGCTATTCTGACTTTACCATCAAGGATTTTGATAAACCCATGCATGTTTGGATGGTCATGCAAAGGAATTTTCGTGCCAGGTTTCAAAATGTACACTTTCATAGTCAGCAACTTATCTAGATACACATCCATGCAATAGAAGGCCACTTTCGATTCCTTTGTCCAAAATTTCGGGTCCAACTTATCCAAATTCAAATTAATGTCTTTGCATTTCATCTGATGTATCACACCTTCTAAGGACTTCACGTTTGAATCAAATGCCGAGTCCTTCTCCTTTTTGATGGGAAGAAATCGGCTTCGGCCAAATGTCTGAATAGATTGCCGAAATAGTCTTGACACCAGCGTTGTTGCCATCTTTTTATTATTTGTACTTTGTATCCGATTCAGCGTCACTTGTAAATTTCGTCAATGAAAAAAATATAAGTCGTACGATGGCCAAATTTTGTGCAGTTTATATATACATTACTAACGTAGGGTTATGCCGGTACAAAATTATGTGAAATTTATTTTACTTGTATTTTCATAAAAAAGAGAATCGTACATTTGTTTTTCGAAAAGGGCCTATTTTGATGTTTTATATTTTTTTTTTGAAATGTGTAATATAAATTAAATATAATAAAGAGTGACCCGACGTACGTGTGTTTCGAGATACGAGCACTGAGCGAGTAAGAACTTAAGACAATGATTTTTTCTACCACAGAAATATTTTGGCATTTTTATTGTCCATAGTAAATTATTTTCTAGTTAGTCATTTTAATGATCAATTACATATTATGTAACGATTTACCGAGAATTATTTGATGTTTGAAGTTTTAACTACGCATTATTAGGAGGCGTTCATTAATCACGTTAGGTTTTTAGGGTGAGGGGGGCTTTTACAAAAAAATACGAAAAATCACGTAAGGGAGGAGGGGCATAGTAAGATATCACGTGTATTTATTTTTACCAGAATCCAAGAATTTTGAAAGAATTTCTCGTAACTAAAAATACACGTGATGTTTGGTTGCGAAGGGAGGATAATTTAGAATATATATGTAATTGTACAGTTAAATGTTGAGGTTTTTGCCTTTTGTACATTTACAAAATATTATTTACTTTCATAAAGAAAAGGGCCATGTCTCTTGAATTAAAGCGTGAAATATATAGAAAAATATGAGGATGGCAAGTAAGGTATAACTTCACCTAAGGGTCTTAAAATATTACAATAACCAGCTTTTTGAGCTCTATAGATAAAAAACACAATCAATATCATGAATAGACAGATAAAACAATTCTTAAATTAATAAATAGTAAATTTATTTAGCAAGAATTCATTGGGAGCCGCAAACCGAATCATTCGGCATCTCTGGTTCAGATATTAAATTCATAACTTTTTCTAATTATATATGATTCTCTTTTTCAGATGGCTTGGATTCCTGAAATGTGTCTCAAGTATCCAGCTTCACTTCTGGACGACGGCAGAGAACTTTCACAAGCAGCAAAGGTATTTATAGAATCAACTATAATTTATTATGATTTTGTAGTTATCATATACATGTGTTTATTTTAAATGGTTTAGATTAGAAAGCATTCACGAACATTACTTCAAAATATTTTCACATATATTTATGGCTTATTTGCACGTTGCCAGACATTCTTCCGGTTGAGGTTTCCAGTTACTGGACGCCAACGATTTGCTTTGGGAAAGCAGGCCAGTAGCTGGCAACGCCAGCGATATTATTATTATTTCTTACTAACAGATATAAAATTGGAAATGACCTGGTATTTGTTACCCAAGCTTGATAAAAACACTCTTTATTATATTTATGGCTGGTAATGGATATCGAAGTGGTGGCAAATACATGTCGATGTGAAACTACTAAATTGATTGGTGCAATGTCTTGTATAAGGATTAAAATGGAAAT